CTTCTAGTATCTATATTTCCCACATTAATTATTTCCAGCCAAGAACTTCTGCGTGGTTCAAGCACAAACTAAAAAGAAAATTTATAATATTATTAAAATTATCGGCAGAGTTCGACACATTCTAATAAATACTCTAAAAATACCCTAAAGTTATATTTCATTGGTTTGTTTCATTTGAATCCGTCGAGCGGCATTTGATAAAAAAATCAATTTTGACAAAAATGCATTTCCCACAATATTATTCCTTATCTCATATTGTACAAAAATTATTCTCTATTGTATTAATTATTTATTACATTACGTAGGTATTGACGATGGTGGAATTTTGTCGATAAAATGAAATTTTTGACGAGTACTTAATGTTTTTTGTATTTTGTCATTATGTCAAATTAATGCACTTTATCATTCAGAATTTAGTATAGTTCTTTGTTCTACTTTTGACGCATTTATTATGTACGATAAAATTATCGATACGGGAACAATCATGTACATCACTATTTTTTAATGAAAATTGTTTTAGACGTATTTCAACTAAAATTAATGAAAATAAGCACTGCATTAGTTAGAAAAGTATTGTATTTAGTCAATTTGCAGCAACCACACTTGAATAGTTTGAAAAACAGAGATATTTTAATGAAAAATAACAGTACTTACCGATGTAATGTTACACCTGCCGGTTTAGTAATATTTTTAGTGCTACATCCAATAACACTGCACCCGGGCATAGTTCTTCTCACTAACCAATAATTTCTTTGTTTACCACGCACAAAAACAACAGGAATTCTACAAATTTTCGTAACAAAATATTGTTGACCAATGCTTTGACAGCTGATGTACCACTGACATGCACTGATAACAGGGACTAAGATGGCCAATTCGGCACAACTAGGTTTTTCTGATGACGTCAAAAAATTATGGCCAGAATGACAATAATGTGTTGTCTCTTTCTGCATAAGCAAAGAGACATAAGTAAAAAAGAAACAACAGTATGTTTATGAATTTACCGTCAAGATGGATCCTAAATTCTACCCGTAGACAATAGCCAGACATCTATGTTATATTCATAAATCTATGATCCCCAACAATCCTCACATTCCTAATCCTCAAAATGCCGGTAACGCACTTGTAACGCCTCAGGTGTCCATGGGTTACGCCGATTGCTTACCGGGCCTTTAGCCAAACGCCACTTTAGCGCTTGTCTACAGAGAGAGTAGAAATCAAAATGTATGGGGATGACACTGACAAGTGTCAAAATTTACGTCAAATCCATATAATTTGGTTTTGTATTCTACATGTAGACAAGCGCTGAATGGCATTTGGCTGCAGCTGCAGGTGATCTGTCTGCTCGTTTACCAGCATATCCTATCACAAAAAATAGTTTCGACAAACCATTCAGTTTTATATAAAAAAATTACATATATAAGATTCGGCGTACATTGATTACATTCTGTAATTAGTTAATTTGAAAAACTTATTATTATTCATTGAATTTTGTAATGTGTTTTGCCCTGTGCCCATTCGGAATGTATTGTAAATGAGGCAATGACCGCTGTGTTAGTTCAGTGGTTGCAAGAACGACTGTCGAGTAAAGAATACTAAGTTTTCTTCTGGTGCAAATCTGTGTCTGGAATTGTGCCCGGTATATGGCAAGGGTCACCCCCTATTACATGGGACTCATATTATAAATAGTGAAATGTGATTGTTATATTGTACAGTGGCATTAAATGCTGTGATGTGAACCTCTGCATACGCCTTCGGGGATAAAAGGTGTGATGTTATGTTTAAGTGTGGGAGAGCCATGCTTCGGCACGAATGGGCCGGTTCGACCGGAGTGATACCACGGCCTCAAAGAAAACCGACGTGAAGCAACGCTTGTGTTGTGTTTCGTCGTGTGAGTGAGGTTACCGGAGGCCCAATAACCTTCCCCTTCCCCAATCTCCCCAATCCCTGAATCCCCAACTATCCTCAAACTCCTAATCCCCAAAAAGCCGGTGACGCACTTGTAACGCCTCTGGTATTCCAGGTGTCCATGGGCGGCGCTGATTGCTTACCATCAGGTGATCCGTCTGCTCGTTTACCGGCTTATGTATGCCATAAAAAAAATGTCAAAAACTAATTAGACCTTGTCTGTGCGCAATTATCTCGTTATTGTCTGAACCGTTTTTGATGCGGTTTTCAAAAAAGGGTTTGCTACACTTCGGAGAAGGTTTTAGTATATTAATTAACCGACTTCAAAAAAAAGAGGGGATTGAAGGCGGTTTCTTTAAACGTAAAGAATTATTATCCCATGGGAACGTGGACGAAACCGTTGGCAGAAGCTAGTAATACATATATGTGACAGACTTAGTTTTTAGTCAAATTTCCATGTTGCTTGGCGACTGGGCTTCACCCAGTTGTACAGTCTCATTTTTGTGCCTTCAGGTTTAATTCACTCTGTCTCCTGCAGTAATTCACCGAGGGAAGTGGAAACTATCGTTTTTGTTCTTCTCCTCTTATAATATCTTCTGATTCACTTCGTTGTGGGAACCAAGACAGTTGTTCATGTCCCTGGGTCGTTGGACTTCAGTGTTCCGGTGTTTGCATGGTTGTATCTACTATAGATCCTGGCTTACAGGAGCTGCAGCGGTTTTGGGAGCTTGTAGCTGGCTTGAGTCATTTTAAAAAATATGTATTCTGGCAGACTTAATGGCATGTGGCGTTCTCTATCAGTCGACCTTCATCTTGGAATTTAAAATATGAACCTCTGCTTATCCCCCCGCAAAGAATAAGTACGATAATATTATATAAATTCACGGATGGTTCGCTTATCACAGTAATTCGCACAATTAATTCATATCTGTATTAATATAAATATTTTAATCATCACAAAAGATAATAGTAGATGTTTAGCTTTGTGCCCCGGTTTTGTTCTCTACATATATTCATTTATTTGGTCTACCCTCCGTCCCTATACTCACTGTAATTGACTGCCTCGTTGGCCGAGTGGTCGCAAGTGCGACTGCGGGGCAAGGGGTCTCGGGTTCGTTAAACTGGGGTTTTTTAAAGAAATTCTCAGTACCTACTGAGAATTTCAGTACTACCTAGTAGCACGGAGTCTGGAATTGTGCCCATACCGGGCACAATTCCACACAAACAGACCCATTTTTTATTTATAATAACTAATAATGATAAGTTAGATAATTATATACATGACTATATATTTTGTTATCTCTAATCTGGTCCTATATATGTAGTTACTTGTATATTATACGCCACAGTATTAATATATATATCGTAATACGCAGTTCCAAAAGAATTTGGTCATTTTCTCGACATTTTTCCGTTGTGTTTTTATATATTATGTTGTGATTTTTGTGGTTATATGTATAAAGAAGGTGGTTCAAAGATTCTGTTCGTTTGAGTGTAAAGAACTTGGAAACGGCTGGACTGATTGTCATGTCTGATTCTGTTAATAATAAGGTGATGTGTTAAAGTTTTTCCGTTTTGTAACTTACTAGCGATCCGCCCCGGCTTCACACGGGTGCAATATGCATGTATTATACATATAAACCTTCCTTAAGAATCACTCTATCTATTAAAGAAAACCGCATCAAAATCCGTTGCGTAGTTTTAAAGATTTAAGCATAGATAGGGACAGACAGACGGTGGATTTTTTTTAAGGGGGAATAATCATCGAATTACTGCTCCCGCCTGGGTGAGGCGGGAGGGAGTGTCAGACTCTTACTGACTAAAAACCACCCCGTTCCGTTCCTGCGCGTCGATCCGGAGCCCCGGTTACCTGTTAGGTTCTCGAGGATAGCGACTTTGTTTTATACTATGTAGTGACTGTATAATAGGTACTAATAGGTTTTGAAAGACGGAACAATCTAGTAAAAGATGACAAATTACAATAGGTATTTAAGTTACAAAAATAAATGCCAAGTCGAGCGTGAAGCGAACACTACCGTACCTACCATCCTTTATTGGAGCCATTTCGCCACGTTTTCTGACCCCTATTTGACAAGCTTTTTTTGGAATAAGCCGGTAAACGAGCAGACGGATCACCTGATGGTAAGCAATCGGCGTTGCCCATGGACACCTGGAACACCAGAGGCGTTAAAAGAACGTTATCCGCCTTTTGGGAATTAGGAGCTTGAGCCTTGTTGGGGATTGGGGAATGGGGGGGATTTGGGACTCTGGTAACTTAACTCACACGACGAAACACAATGCAAGCGTTGCTTCACGTCGGTTTTCTCTGAGGTCGTAATATCACAAGCCCCTAATCCCCAAAAGGCCGGTAACGCACTTGTAACGCCTCTGGTGTTTCGTGTGTCCATGGGCGACGTCGATTGCCTACTATCAGGGTGCTTGCTCTTGAAACCAATCTCAATGTCAATGCAATTTCAATCCAATAAAATCTCAATAATTATTCAATGTCAACACTATACAACCACAATCGTAGCTGTTACAATAGCATTCAGAGTACGGAATGTAAAGCCAAACTCAATACCATTTAGTTCATTCAATATCCACGCAATACGGATGTAATGGGCGCTAGTGGCGCAACTCAAGAGTACGAAATTCCACAATATCAATGATCGGAATTGGATTCAAGAGTAAGCACCCAGGTCTGGATGCGTCTTTATAAAATGGTCGAAAGAAAGAAGTCGATATTACTTGTTTTCGTGTTTGATCGCCTAAACGTGTTGTGTAGGTATATGTATAACGTACTAGCTTTTACCCGCGGCTTCGCTCGCGTCACGAAAGGATAAAAAGTAGCCTATGTGACATATACCAATACACACAGCGCCATCTACCAATACTTTTGTTTTCTCACGGGAATATCAAATTTTTCCGGGATAAAAAGTACCCTATTATTTAATGCAGACTTCTAACTATACGTCTGCAAAAATTCAAAGCAATTGGTTTAGTAGTTACGGCGTGAAAGCGGAACAAACAAACAAACAAACAAACTCACTTTCCGATTTATAATATTAGTAAGGATGTATATTTCGTTACAGATGCGCCTGCACCGGTGTGAGGGGTGTCTCGCGGCGTGCGGCCGACAGCGGCGCGCCACGCCGCTCTCTGCCATACCCAGGACCATACCCAGGTAGTTAATTGTATGATTCTTTGATCGTATCACGATAGATGGTCATAGAGCCAAAATGGTCCCGTACAGTTCGGTTTCAGAGGAATTTTCTCCCACGGACCCTCCGATTGTGGGATGAACTCCCTGCCGTGGTTTTCCCAGTGGACTACAACATGAGGTTCTTCAAGAGGGCAGTGAATAGGTTTCTTAAGGGTCGGCAGGACGCATGTAATGCCCCAAGTGTTGCAGGCGTACATTAAAAAAGAGTAACGAATGGAGTTTCTTGCTCGTTCTTCTCCATTCGAACTGACTGACAGACTATTATTTACTGATCGTAAGCAATCGGCGTCGCCCATTGACACCTGGAACACCAGAGGCGTTACAAGTGCGTTGCCGGCCTTTTGGGGAATTAGGAGTTTGAGGATCATTGGGGATTCAGGAATTGGGTAGACTGGGGAAGTGGAGGATAATTGTGCCTCCGGTAACCTCACTCACACGACGAAACACAACGCCAGCGTTGCTTCACGTCGGTTTTCTGCTCGGCCGTGGTATCGCTCCGGTCGAGCCGGCCCATTCGTGCCGAAGCATGGCTCTCCCACACTAAAAATATATGTGGCAAAACAACGTTTGGCGGGTCAGCTAGTTTTACTAATATAAATATTAATGAATACCTTCGCGTATTCACTAAAACAACATGTTAACACATCAATCTGTGTCCGAAGGTCGTTAATGGTACGGATAGCTCTAGTAAGAGGTGCGTGTTGTTTTTTAGCACTAGAATAACGTTGTTCTGTTATCATTTCCAGGACAAGAGTATTACAAAGAGCAAGACGAGGGCCTTACACGCAGACTATGAGCAAGGAGAACTGCCTCAAGATGGAGACGCCGCCCACTCCACCAGATAACGAAGCGCCCCGTACGTATCTACTTATTCTATATTCATAGTGCAGTGTAAAGATTCATAACATAACATCACGCCTTTTATCCCCGAAGGTGTCGGCAGAGGTGCCCCTTTTCACTATTTATGTTACGAGTCTCATGTAATAGGGGATGAGCCTATTGCCATATGCCGTAACATAAATAGTGAAAAGTGGGTGTTACATTGTTCAGTGGCATTAAGTGCCGTAATGTGCACCTCTGCCTACCCTTATGGGGATATAATACGTTATATTATGTAAAAAATCGATAGTTTCCACTTCTTTCGGTAAATTTAGAAGACTGAATGTCTTAAACTTAAAAATTATTCTGTCTTCTAATACTCTTTGGTTTTTCCACAGCGATGCCGTGGTTCGGCATGGACATCGGTGGTACCCTAACGAAGCTGGTCTACTTTGAGCCCCGGGAGACGAATAGACGGGAGCTGGACAAGGAGACAGAAGTACTTAAGAATATCAGAAGATATCTCACCAGGAACTCCGCCTATGGGAAGACTGGGAGACGGGATGTACATTTGCAGGTAATATTTTTTTATAGGATGAGCCGGTAAACGAGATCTGCGAGGTATCTGCATGGAACAATTCTAAGCTAAATGCTACGAGCTAAGACAGTTCTCATTGGTCGACTTTTTTTATGGTATAAGCCGGTAAACGAGCAGACGGATCACCTGATGGTAAGCAATCAGCGTCGCCCATGGATACCTATAACACCATAGACGTTTCAACTGCGTAATTCCAACAATTGGGATGTTGGTTAATTTGCCCGAACCGGGTAACCAATCCGAGACTGCCCGGCAGTCGGATTTGCGACCATTCGGCCAACCAGGCATTCGGTCGGTTAATCGGGTACTTTCCTTAATCAAAAATAAATTATTTCGACTGTTCAATACAATACAATATTTAATAAATAATCTCACTTTCATTAATTGATTTTATGACCAACTTAATTTTAGTATTTTTACGGCAAATTTTTAGAAATAAGTATGCTGTTTGACGCTAAAAAAACGTGACGTCACAATACACAATCTCGTACAAAATTCGTAGAATACTCTCGTTTTTGACAGTTCGAAAAAAGTATTGAATTTGACTTGTTGGCACAATTAATTTTCTAAAAAATTCTTCCTACAAGTGTAACAAATAGTTTTCTGAAAACTACATCTAAGTCGGTTCAGTCAATCGCGAGGTAATCTCGCACACAGACACATAGCTACATACATCACACTAAGTACCTCCAGGATGCTTACTCTTGAAACCAATCTCAATGTCAATGCAATTTCAATCAATTTTTTACAATCTGACTGCACGGTTGATACGGTGGCTGGGCAACCGGCTGCCGTGCAACGTGTCGCCGGTTCGATTTCCACACAGAACAACTCTTTGTGTGATCCACAAATTGTAGTTCCGTGTTTGTGTGTCATGTGTATTTTTTTTTATTGCATAAGCCGGTAAACGAGCAGACGGATCACCTGATGGTAAGCAATCGGCGTCGCCCATGGACACCTGGAGCAACAGAGGCGTTACAAGTGCGTCACCAGCTTTTTGGGGATTAGGAGTTTGAGGATCGTTGGGGATTCAGGGATCGGGGAGATTGGGGAAGGGGAAGATAATTGGGCCTCCGGTAACCTCACTCACACGACGAAACACAACGCAAGCGTTGCTTCACATCGGTTTTCTGCTCGGCCGTGGTATCACTCCGGTCGAGCCGGCCCATTCGTGCCGAAGCATGGCTCTCCCACTACAATGTATGTGATCTTGTATGTTTGTAAACGCATCCACGACACAGGAATAAAAAAAAATCCAATAAAATCTCAATAATTATTAAATGTCAACACTATACAACCACAATCGTAGCTGTTACAATAGCATTCAGAGTACGGAATATAAAGACAAACTCAATACCATTTAGTTCATTCAATATCCGCGCAATACGGATGCAATGGGCGCTAGTGTTGCGACTCAAGAGTACGAAATTTCACAATACCAATGTCGATCGATCGGAATTATAATAATAATAATAATAATAATTTATTGCAGCCAAAGTTACACATTGTACATTACAGTTACAGATGATACTTAACATGCGTATTTGCCGTGAGTACAAAATACATGATCAATGACCCCCATGCTAGGAAAACCTGTGTTACAGGGGTCAACCATCCGTCCAGTGAGAACAGTTAGGTAACTTATTGTAAATAAAACTAGCCTAGTACAATTTTAAAATTAAACAATAGAAAAATAAGCAAAATTTATTAAATTTATGTGTGTTGTGTGAATGATGTGTGTGAATGGGTGTGTAGTGTGACCGCAGGAGAGTGTGATGTATGTGTGTGGGTGTGTGGAGTATTTGTTTGGGCATGAGTGTGCGAATCTTATAATCTTATGTTTTGACTAGATCTTCCGTTTTCTCGTAATTTAGGGTAAGCAGAAAGCAAATCGTAATCGTAAGCAGTGCGTTTCAATGCAAATCCAAAGCCAAGGAGGCTTTGGATTTGCATTGAAACGCATTCAGATTATGTATGTTCAGTTCGCTATGGAGTTTATTGTAAATTCTTGCACTCAGATATCGATATTGTCGTCGGGCGAAGATGGTGTTGGTACTGGTTATGGTACAAACTGGTATGGGTCTTCTTCTCGGCGTAGGGCTGTTTTCTCTAATTGGAGGGATTAACTTGTGCATACGGGAAATACAACGTGCCACATACAACTGCCGGACCGTTAGGACTTTAAACTCTGAATAAAGATGTAAAGTAGGGTACCTAAATGGTTTGCTAAGGAGGACTTTTATTACCGCTCTTTGAGCTCTTTCGGCTTGTATGAGAATTGTTTTAGCGGCCCCTCCCCAGGCAACGACACAATAGCTTAGAATGGATTCACAGAGGGCAGTGTAAACCATTTTGAGGATATCTCTATTTGCCGAAGTTCTGAGTTTTTTGAAAAGGTAAAGGAGTTTTCTGGTCCGAGCAGACAGGGATTCGATGTGAGTCTTCCAGCTGAGACAGGAATCAAGGTAAAGGCCGAGATACTTGACTGACGAAGCTCGCGTCACTGCTTGACATGAGCAGGAGTCATTTCGGCCAATCGTATCACAAACGTGGGCTTTCATTTGCAGGGGCAGGTGCGAAGGGAGGACCGAGTGATTTGAGCCAAAGGTGACAAAGTTGGTTTTACTAACATTTAGCGTTAGACTGTTGCTTCCAAGCCAAATCATAACCTGATATAGCGATTTTTCGGCGGCATCCCTGGCCGTTTTCCAGTCGTGTCCACTGCATAGTAAAACGGTATCATCTGCGTATGCTATAATGTGTGTTGAGGGAAGGGTGAGTAAACAGAGTTCGTTGACGTAAATTTGGAAGAGCAGGGGACTGAGCAAACTACCCTGGGGCACACCGAAATCTAGTAGTTGGATTCAAGAGTAAGTCCCCTGTTATTTTGAAGTCGGTTAGTTAATTATTTTTCTTATTACCCACAGATGGACAATGTAACCATTCGAGGTAGACGCGGCACTCTCCACTTCATAAGGTTCCCGACGTCCGAAGTTGGGGCCTTTCTTCAGCTCGCCCGGTCTAAGGGCATGGCTGATTTAGTGAACACTATATACGCTACCGGCGGTGGCGCTTACAAATTCGAAGAGGATTTTATTAAGGTACGTCTAGATTAGAGTATTGTCTAGAAAGTTTTTTTGTGGGGGGAGGGGGGAAATCCAATGACTTCTCTCGCCTTAACCCGTTGAAATCCACCCCCTAAATTTGGTCATACAAAAGTAGTCTCTAAACATTACAAATAAGGTCTATAATGTAATGTAATATTAGTGGAAAGCGGTCACCGGTGACCGCTTGGTGATTTATGGGTTAAGGGAGTGTCAGACTCTTACTGACTAAAAACCACCCCGTTCCTACTCCTGCACTTCGAGCCGGCGCCCCGGTAACTCGTTAGGTTCTCCGCGACTCCGTATCGGCATCAGCCCTATTTTTTTTTTTTTTGTTAAGGGGGAAAATCATCGAATGACTGCTCCCGCCTAGGTGAGGCGGGAGGGAGTGTCAGACTCTTACTGACTAAAAACCACCCCGTTCCTTCTCTTGCACGTCGAGCCGGAGCCCCGGTTACCCGTTAGGTTCTCCGCGACTCCGAATCGGCATCGGCCCTATTGGGTCCCATCTGTAGTGGTCTGATGGCTCCTAGAGTATTGTCTGGAATAATATTTTAAGATAGTGTACCTACGTTGCCTGACTGCCTCGTTGGCCGACTGGTCCCAATTGCGACTGCCGGTCAAGGGGTCTCGGGTTCGATTCCCGGGTCGGGCAAAGTATTACTGGGTTTTTAAAAATCTCAGTAGTAGCACGGAGTCTGGAATTGTGCCCGGTATATGGCAATAGGCTCACCCCCTCTTACATGGGACTCATAACATGAATAGTGAAAAGTGGGTGTTACATTGTGGCAGTCGCAATTGCGACCACTCGACCAACGAGGTAGTCATTATTTTATACTATGTAGTGATTGTAATTGTCTTTCTTTACAGGAAGTAAACATGCGTCTATCGAAAATGGACGAGTTAGACGCTCTGATAGCGGGCGTGCTGTTCGTGGACTGCATGAATGCGCAGGAGTGCTACTACTGGGCGCCGCCCGACGAGCAGGCCGTGCATACTCACGTCACGGACTCGGTGGGTACTCGCTACGATTCTATAGGCTTTTTGTTGATTCCCCTAATCATAATTATAATCATCATATTTTCTTTTTGTATTTTTTTTTCATTCTGATTTGAATACATACATACATAACTTCACGCCTGTCTCCCATGTGGGTAGGCAGAGACTCCTACATACCTCTTTCGCTTCATCAACAGTCATCAATCTTTTCATGCATGCTCGTCGGTTAAGGGTACTTTTAACTCGTCGAGTACCGGTTTTGTAGACACAATTATAGAACAATAGGTTGCGGTCACCGGTGACCGCTTGGTGTTTGACAGTTTAATTTGGCCCTTCTTTAATATATCGCCAATTGGTCGATATATGTCCGTCTAGGGCGCCCTCTACCGACGACCCCATTTATATCCGCTCTGTATACTTCTTTCGTTACTCTACTTTCATACATCCTTTCTACATTGAAAGACAGCAAATATATATATATATATATATATTTTATAGCATAAGCCGGTAAACGAGCAGACGGATCACCTGATGGCAAGCAATCGGCGTCGCCCATGGACACCTGGAACACCAGAGGCGTTACAAGTGCGTTACCGGCTTTTTGGGGATTATGAGTTTGAGGATCGTTGGGGATTCAGGGATTGGGGAGATTGGGGAAGGGGAAGGTAATTGGGCCTCCGGTAACCTCACTCACTCGACGAAACACAACGCTGTGGTTGCTTCACTATGGTTTTCTGCTCGTTGGTGGTATCACTCCGGTCGAGCCGGCCCAGCAGTGCCGAAGCATGGCTCTCCCACACTTAAATGACTCATCAAGTCTCTCAAAGCCTCGGGATTGATTCCGCGACCGGGAAAAAAGTATTATTTATATATTTCGACTATTTTGTAAAATTGTCACTATGTGGTAACTCCTTTATATTCCAGCCCCCGTATTCGGAAGCAGCCTTAAGTCTGTACGTGAGGAAACCATTCGACTTCTCCTCGCCGTACCCGTTCCTGCTGGTGAACATTGGCAGCGGAGTGTCAGTGCTCGTCGTCAACGCGCCTGATGATTACTACCGCGTCAGCGGGACCAGGTGAGCTGGACATCATCAGTAGAGAAAATATTATTGACAAGGGTCAATTAGTTTACACCACCGTTGCTCTTCATGTGGGTGTCACATACCCGAGTAAGACATTTAGGCTAAATGAGCTAAGGAGCCTACGGGTCACTTGATGGTAAGCAATCGGCGCCGCCGCCGCGATGGACACCTGGAACACAATAGGAGTTGCAAGAGCGTTGCCTGCCTTTTGAGGATGGGATGGGTAACCTCACTCCTCAACTGACAAGGCAACATAAACTAAAATAATGTGTAATGGTTCGAAACCTGACAAGTACCAATGTGACTTTTTCCGAGTTATATGTACTTTCTAAGATTATTTAGACACCACTGACAAACGGTGAAGGAAAACATCGAGAACCTGGGCTTATAATTTCTAATTATAAGTTTGAAATCGCTAACCCGCATTGAGTAGGTAAACCTCCGTAGGTTTGAGCATTAATCACCACGCTAACTTTCCACACGGGTAAGAAGAGGCCAGCAGTGAACACTTGAGCAGCAGTGAACACTTGAGGTTGCCGATACGGAGCCCCGAAGGACTTAACGAGTTGACGGCTCGAAGGGCAAGATTAGGAACGGGGTGGTTTTTAGTCAATGAGAGTCTGACACTCCTTCTCTATGCGGGAGAAGTTATTCGAGGATTTTCCCACCTTAGAAAAAACACCCTTGCTAAATTAAAATATTTCCGTTTCAGTCTCGGCGGTGGAACATTCCTTGGCCTGTGTTGTCTACTGACTGGCTGCAGCAGCTTCGAGGAGGCCATAGCACTCGCCGCCTCAGGAGATAACACCACTGTTGACAAACTCGTTAGAGATATATACGGTGGAGATTACGCTAGGTTCGGACTGCCTGGAGATTTAGTTGCTAGCAGGTGAGATGATATTCGTTTATATATAACTAGCGACCCGCCCCGGCTTCGCACGGGTGCAATATGTATATACATACAAACCTTCCTTAAGAATCACTATCTATTAAAAAAAACCGCATCAAAATCCGTTGCGTAGTTTTAAAGATCTAAGCATACATACGGACATACAGCGAAAGCGACTTTGTTTTATACTATGTATTAATTGTAAGTTAAAAATGTGTTATTTCGACTGCTCAATACAATTCTATATTCGAAATGAATTATACTTTAATTAATTGTTTTGATGATCTATTTAATTTTCAAATATTTCTATTTAATTTTGTACAGACGGCCACACATCAATCTATACAAAGCCAGTTTATCCTGGTGTCGCGTCGCATCATCTTTCCGCACATTTAACGTTCAGTTTATACTGGAGATGTAAAGCTCGATGTGTAGCCGTGTGTACAATAAGCCCGTTATTTGATGTCGCAACTCGCGTTCTCTTGCAAAATTTATAGAAAATGTTTTTGACGTGACATTTCGATAAAATTATTGAATATGAGTAGTAGGAAACCAGCCTTTTGAAAGTCAAGTTTCATTTTGATATAAAATTTAATTACGATTTAGAAAATTCACCTTTTCTCAGGCGAATGTAAGAATGAAAATCGCTACTACTTTACGATATCAACGACTTGCTTCATAATTGAGTACTCGCCAACTAGTCAAATTCAATACTTTTTTCGAACTGTCAAAAACGAGAGTTTTCTATAAATTTTGTACGAGATTGTGTATTGTGACGTCACGTTTTTTAGCGTCAAACAGGGTACTTATTTCTTAAAAATTTGCTGGAAAAATACTAAAATTAAGTTGGTCATAAAATCAATGAATGAAAACGTTATTATTTTTTAATATTGTATTATATTGAACAGTCGAAATAATTTATTTTTGATTAAGGAAAGTAATCAAGTTTTATCAAGTTGCTGTTGACAGAAATTTAATCAGAAGTTGCGAAATAAACCTTAAAATTATTCATAACTAGCTGGCCCGGCAAACTTCGTACCGCCTAAATTGTTTTTCTCAACTTATAAACCTTCCCTGGACTCCCACGAACATTTCAATACCAAAATTACCCAAATCGGTTCACCCGTTCTTGAGTTTTAGCGAGACTAACGAACGGAAATTGATTTTTATTTATATAGATTTAATAAACCAAACTTCACTTATGTTACGAGTAACACGTTCAATTCCAGTTTTGGTCAGATGTGCTCAGCGGAGCGTCGTGCGAAGGTGTCTCGCGCCGACCTCGCCCGCGCTACTGTCGTCACCATCACCAACAACATCGGCTCCATCGCCCGGCTCTGTGCGTCCAATGAGGGGATCGAGAGGGTAAGATACTCGTCTTATACTCACTTCATACTGATAATTACTCAAACACACTCATTCACTTCACACACTTTACTTAGTCAAAATTCACTTACTTCACTCACTTCTCCCACACTCACTCGTTTACCCTAAATGACTTTAGCACTGCACGCATTCATTTATTAAATAAAATACATCGTGCTATTTAATTAACGTCGTCACCATTACCAACAAAATAGCTTTTATTGGCAGCTCCACGCTTCTAATAAGGGGATTACGAATGATATAAATATAAAGTCTAACAAAAATAATGCACAATATTTTAACAGGTGATATAGTACATGATAAGGGCTATGTTTACCTAAACAAAAAATGTAAACAACAACATGTTTAATTAAATTTATCATCACATTTGCAAAATTGTTGTGTTTTTACGCATAACGCCAGCCGTATGGATGCCCGCGGACGTTTATCTTACGGGTCAACGACCGAGCTCTTCGAATAGGTACATAGGAATAGGTACATATTGCAGGATGGCATAAAAAGCAATGAAAATAATAAATGAATAATTGAATTATTAAAAATAATTGATAAGTTTTTATAAAATATTTTCATAAAAAAATGATGTTTATCACATACTAATTGACCTACTAAAATATTGTGCACTATTTTTGTTACACCTTATATATTTAAGAGACTTCTTTATACTCACTTTACTCACTCTTATTCACATAACTCACACTCACTCATTTCCCTCAAACATATTCACTTTTCTCACTCTTTTAAGCCTCACTCACTCACTTCATTTACCACACACACTCAGTTTTTTCAGATGAAAATGCGCCCGCAACTCTTAACTTATAATAATATTGCGTCTACTAGTTACGTGTTTGACTCCCAGGTGGTGTTCTGCGGAAACTTCCTAAGAGTGAACCCGCTATCTATGAAGTTGCTTTCGTACGCTATGTCGTACTGGTCCAGAGGTGCTTTGAAAGCACTCTTCTTGGAACATGAAGGGTAAGGAAAATGAACCTTGAAATTACCACTTTAAGTCCAATCACATAAC